GAATGTGGGCAGAAAAACTATGTCCTGGGACTAGACACAAGAGAAGAACGTGTATATGGGAGATAGAGGAGACAAGGCCAAAAGGTGAACTTGTATGGACTTGTGTAGAGCCTTGTGGGCAAAGAAAACGAGCTGAGTGCCATATAGGAGAGAGAAAACATTTTTTGCAATGGTATTGTGGAGGAATATGAATCAAAGAGGCCAGAAAGAGGAGTTAGCAGTAAAAAGGACAAGCACTCCAGCTGTTGCAAGAAAAGCAAAGGGCTACTCACATTTGTATGCTCTACTTGTGTAAACAGAGAGTAGTATTGGCTCTCTGTTTTACAAAACCCTGTTTTCAGAAATAAGTTTGTCAGACAAAGTAAAGAGAAAAAGATCAATGGATTGCAATAAATGGCATTTAACATAAAAATGAGTAAAATTTACAATTCAGTTAACTTGTTAAATGTTAAAAAATCAGCAAACAATAGACACAATTTGTTTTGTTCAGAGCCCAGAGGTAGAGACCAAATCCTCTAAATTAATTTCTGCAAAAGCTGGGTTTTTTTCCAAACAGGTCTGGATCCTATTCGTTGTAGAATATACTGATTACCAACTATTTTTAAGAGCTTTACACAAACATTATTTCTTTTGTTGTGTGAAATGCAGAATCAGCCATCTGGCAAATGCCCCAGAGCTAAAATCTTTTACATGACATATAATTCAAAATGATTAAATATACAACAGAAAATAGCTATAGCATTGCACTTAAAATAGCATGAACTTTTACTGCCGATCAAAACTGATTTCTTTAGCTTAACAAGTATCCAAAGAACAATTATTTGAAGAGCTTTTAAGAGTTTCAATATGTAGGAACTAAACCTCATCTAAATTCAGTATCTTAAGTCAAATAAAAAAGAAACAAATGTACAAAAGATTAAATGGTCCTGCGTTATAAGTAGACATTTAAATCTATGGGAAGCTAAATTCATTCGAACAAAAATACTATATTCCCTCTGTATGTGTATTGCTGGGGCTTTCCTCTCCACTGCTAAGGGCATCTGCCAAAACAACTCTTACATTCTTAGGCAATGACTAGGGACTAGCCTGGAATCAGACTGTTCATCCACTCCCTCCATCATCAGAATGGGCAATTTCAAAGAAGAACAGGGAATAAAGCTCCGTGCATGATCCCTAAGTGCAGTCAATCTTTTTTCCTGCACCACAGTCGACTTTAAGTTAAACTTGCTGTCTTTTTTCCAGAAATACTCCAGGCCTGAAAAATTGCCAGGTCCTCATCCCACACCCAGTTCTCCAGTAGTTTATGAGAAAGAGCACGCAAACATCTGCATGTATTTGGGGTACATGAGGGTAGGTACAGAAATATTACCCTGCATAATTATTGAGTGGTTATGGCTCTGTTTCTCAACTACATTTTTCAGACAAGTCAAAGTCTACATTTCCCAAAAAGCACTTGGTGCAAGTCAGATCTGAGTTGTAAGACAAAAAAGTTTAAATGTAGGAGATTTATCTCATGGATTTGCATACTTGGATAAACCTGAAATGGATGAATACATCGCTGCTGACTTTCCAAAACATTTTGCTTCTAAATTCTTTCAGACCAAGCATGAGAACCTTCATCCCAAGGTAACAATGTGAGGAAACTAAGTCTGTGATTACTAAGGCTTAGAATTAAAATGGCTTTGAACCCTTGCCTGCGGAGTTGGGTCAGCCTCACAACCAAGGAACCTCAGACATTTTAACCCCAGACTTTTCTAAGCTATAATAAAATAATGTTCTTGAATCTTGACCTTTTCAGCTCATAATGATTCCTGAAGCAGCAGGATTTTTCCTGCTGCTTTTTACAAGACTTCCAGGCTTGTAGAAATCCTAAGCTGATTGCTGGCTGGTTTGGGATTGCAGCAACACCAAAACCTCTCCTCTTAGTAAGGCACTTGTCCTGGTTTTCTGGGCCTAATCCTGCTCTCAATAACATGCATGTTAATTCAGTTATCTGACTGAGCTTTTGGTGTAAAGGCAGGCTTTGTGTCTTCCTGCTCTGGATGTTATATGAAGAGGTGCATATATTTCAGGTTAATATTGAGTGCAGTATAGAAAGTTACCCTGTGCACCATACACACACTAATTAAACCTGAAGATAGAATATGAAAGTAGTAGCACAAATATTCTCTTATTACAAAGAGCAAAAGCATGTTTTATATTATTTAACCTATCCTTGAGAGAACCACAGGAGAACCAGGGCAATTTTCATGAGAAGTATCATTGCTTTTCATCAAAAGAGAGGTGATCCAGGCAATCTCCTATAATCTTTTCCATCTCAGTGTAAGAAAATGTCTATTTTTGACAGTATTTTCTCTTTGAAAGCTATGGGCTTCTCCGATATTCAGGTGTCCTAAAACCTGAATGTCACAGCTCTTCTTGTACCTCCCTGCTTTGCATTGAACATAACATCATATATTTTCTACTTTTCACTGAAAAATTGGGAAATCTTCCCATCTTTCTATTGACCAAACTCTGTTACAAAGGTGCCAGGAGTCCTATTTCTGGGGGGGAAAAAAAAAAGTAATACTCCTAGTGAAACAGGAGTCTAGTCCCAGTATCTATTCAAAATAAACAACGTATCTTCTTACAAATGAGCACTCCCATTCTTATTTATGTGTCCAATTTTGCGTACTTCGCAATACTGGAAAAAAGGAAAGATTGAAGAACACATGGAGAATCAAGAGAAATTTGAGCATCCCCGAGGAAACAGAGGTTTAGGGACGGAGTAATAACTGCAAGATTGTAATGAGAATTTGGAAAACTTTGCTAGATAAAAACATGTAACAAAACTGTTGCTGTCATTTCATTCCCTGGGCCTGATTATGTTTTCATGATGGGCTTTTGCACTGCTTTAACAGTAAGAGCTCTTTAAGTAAATGAGTATCAGATCTCCACGCTAGTGAAATGCAAGGCTTGCCAAATTTAACAGGAGTCTCTACGGTACTCTACATCCACTCATCTTGACAAAGAAGTGGTGGAAGCAAACTCGGTAGTTTCAAATGGCGTCTATTTTCTTCTCTCCTGGAATGGTACCTGGATGCTGCCAGTTTGGAGGCAAGTCGGTGCCAAGGCTGTATGCTTCCTTGCCCTCTTTCACAAACAGCCGAGAAACAATCAGAAATTGCTTCATAATAGGGCCAGGGTGAAAGGTGAGAACTGGAGTATTCTGAAAGCCTGCTGCCAGACCTGAGGAAGATAGTGTCATTTTGGTAAACCTGTCAAGCTGTTGTAAGAACTTCCTGAATGCTTCCTACCATCTGCTTTTGATGCTTTCAAGACTTGGCTGGAAGCCTGGAGGTTTTCCTGCTCCTTCCTGCCCAACCTATAATGGAGTAATTCTGGATCTGTTCCCTGTCATCCCAGCCTCTTCCTCAGTTTCTTCTGCTTACAGCTGGGTTTTTTTAATTTTTTTTTTTTCTCTTTACTGCAGTGGCCTTGTGCCCTGAATCATCTCTCCTGGGGCGGTAAGAGTTCCTCTGATGTTGAACAAGTGCCGGGTTTTTCAATTGTGTTCATGTTCTCGAGAGGAAGGGTCTGGCCTACATGACACATTCCTTCTTCACACTCACATCAACAAGTTTAACTTTGTGTGCAGGGCTCTCAATGGAACGGCCACACAAAGCACATCTCCAACGACTCCGTGAGACTGCACGCTGCGCTGGTCTGGTTAGCGAATATTGATTGATATAATTTGTAGGGTTTGAGATAAATGTCATAAAGGACAATGAGTTCAAAGAACAGATTAAAAAACAATAAATTGAATTCCAAGGCGTTCCCTCCTGTACTAATCTGTGTAGGTTCCTGTGTTTTTGGAAAGCATGTTGCTTATCTTCCTCATCAGTAGGCCCACTGCATTCCAGTATTTTGGATCAATGCCATTTGTAATAATCTAGATCAGTTTTTATTCAACGTTTATAAAACAGGCCATGTATCATAGGGTATATTTTATAGCAGATGGTATCTCCAATTCATTTAACCCCCCCTTCACTTCCCTCCTCCAATATCACAGTGCATACTTATAAAAGCTCTTGAAAGTAGAGCTGAGCAGAATTTTTTTCAACAAATAGTAAATTTGCTGAAAAATGGAGTTTCCAAGCAACAAAACTGTTAAACTGTGGCACACTGAAAATGAAATGTTCTGTCTTCTAGAAAAAACAGGTCTTGCAATTTGGACATTTGGAAAAAAAAAAAAGTGGGGTGGGTTGTTGCTTTCAGAAATCACTTTCATTTAAAAAAAAAATCTGCACTTAAAAGGTGATAAACACAAAGGTTAAATAGCCAGAACGCAAAGCGTTTGTTTCAGGTCAGATTACATTTTTTGAGTTATCTCAGTGTCAACTGTTTGGGGACCTTCTGTGTGGTTTTAATTTGCAAAGTTTCTCTTTTGGCTTGATGAGAACTAATTTTCCCCAAGGCTTATTAATTTGGGGACTTACCCACAAGACCCAGTATTTGCCAGACTCCACTCAAACCACAGCTCTCCAAGGTGACAAGAAAGTTTCCTGTTCAGCATGGTATTTAAACATAGCCCTAAGACTCATTTCAATAAAATGGACTATTCTAACATGCAGAGATAAGCACATGCTTAAGCACTCTGCTGGTTCACAACACAGAGTTTATTAGCTTTCAGGATCAACAATGTACACCTTGCAACCACTCCCTTGCTTGAGATCGTAATGGAAGAGATAGAAGATTTTCCTGAGATTAACGTACCAAATGGCAATAAAATATATTTATTCATATCTGCTTGGGAATACTTCATTGTAATTTTGCAAGATATGATTTATACAACTCTGGGGATACATAGATCACTGATAAAAATAAATAAGTAAAAAATATTTTAGCTCAGTGATAACAGAACCAAATAATAGATTTTTTTTATGTTTTAGCTTTAATCACGCATCCTAGAAGATATGACAAATAAACTCAGTTTACCTTGCAGAAGTAGTTAATCATACCTGCGTTTCTCAGAAATTTGAGTTTGTAGTCAACAATAACTCTGGTTTCAGGATTATAGAATCCATCACCACAGTCATAACATCCTTCCGGGATTTTTTTGGGAGGATCCAGATTTGTAAGACGAGAAATGCCTGAAGAAAAAAAAACAAAGGGTTTGCTTTATTTTGCCTTTTTTTTTTTTTGCATTTGTGCCTTTGATCAAGATAACTAACAAATATTACATCTCCATGGCATTTGCTACAAAAACAATGCAGTCACCTTACAATAAATTTTATAAAACATTTTGCCAACTTTGCAGATGGAGAAAATGGAAATGGAAAAATCCATACACAAAAAGTGTGTGATAAAAAGCTATCACTTTGATTTCCTCATTCATGGTCCTGTGATTCAGCCCACTAAGCTAACATTACAAATATGACCCCGAACTCCAAAACGGGGCCAGGAGAGTCTTGCTGGCCTCACAGAACTACATGTCATCACTAAAATATTCTGTGTATAAAGAAGAGTATTTTATGTATTACGTTACATATTTTACTCACTTGTTCCTTATAAATCTTTTCACCTTTGGACTACAGACAAATAATAATGTTATAAAAGTTTTTAGCAAAAATATGGACTGGACACAAACGTTTATTTTGGTATCTACAAAAAAGGACAGACGCATTCAAACTTTATTTGATGTCCTGGATGTAAACTAATTGCTTTTGCTCAACTTTTCTATATTAAAAGCACACTGCTAATGCAGCGAAGGTGAAATGTATAAAAGGGTTAATCAGCGTATCAAAAGCTGTAGATAACAAAGCCCTGTCCTGCAGGTCATCACTCAAGAAGAGACCACGCTGTGGATGTAATGCTGCATCCTGCGCCGCGCTGGTGGAAGGTGGTGTCAGCATTCTTCTGGCAGCGTCGTATGGTCGGGTCCTGAAATTAGCCAGAGCATTTCTGCTCCATGTTACTTATGTAGCCGAATTAATCTTTCTTAAGCAAAGTTGTTAGTTTAATTCCTTCCAGACTCTTAGGATCGCAAACGCAATTCAGTACCTGCTGGTTTAAGACCAGAACAGATTTCTGTATAAAATCTTCTGTCGTAGCCATCACAGTAATGCCATTTTTTATCTTTGTATTCGAGACCATCTGCAAAAATGTATTTCCCCTGCAAAACAAGTTCAAGCACAGAGTTAATAAACATGATGGATGGATCGAGTACGAACAAGGCTAGTGCTCCCACTGCCAAAACCGCGCGTCAGCCGAGCGGAGCGAGTGCCGGCCTCAGCTCGGGTTCAAGTAGCGTTGGGAACCGCGTCTGCAAGATGCCCGGCCACGAGCAGCCGTGCCCTCGCACGTTTGGGTGCGAGACGCCGCCGAGGGGACGAAAAATTGCCTTGGCTGGGAAATCCGCTTATTTCACCCCAAACCTTCTCCGCTCCCCGGCGGCGGGGTCCCCTCGGGGTGAGGCGGGGCGGGGGGCGGGCCCCCCCCCCCCCCCCCCCCCCGCCGCCCGGCCGCCGGCTGTCCCCCCTCGGGGGGAATGGTTTCTCCCACCTCCCCGCCGTAACC